ATCTCATGATTGTTTGATACCTTCTTACAGTCTTGGTTCCCAGTACATATTCAGCTAATGTTTGCTGAGTGACTGATGAATCCCAATGTTTTCCTTCAATCGTTTTCTTGAATCTTATTTTAGGAAATTTGCAAACATATGCAAACATAGAATTAATGATTCCTCATGTATCCAACACGCAGCCTCAATAGTTAACAATTATTAATCCTCTTACATCCATCCCAAAATGCCTAATCCACCTTCCCACATTATTTTGAAGAACATTTCAGACATCACATCATTTTGCACACAGGTATTGCAAAGTGTATCTCTAAAAGAAAAGGAGTTTATAAAAACATAATACTATTATCATGCCTAGAAAAATAAAAATAAACTCCTTCATTTCAAATAATCAGCGTTCAAATTTGCAGTGGTCCCAGATTATGGGGCTTTTTTCTTTAAAAATATGATAGGATGTGTACGCTGTGACCTTTATTTTAATCTATGGGTGTCACTTCCATTCCTTTTATTTTTCTTCCAATTTATTTAAAGAAATGAGGTCAATTACACTATAGAACAGTGCTTCTCCAATTGTGGCAAAGGGACAGTTTTAAATTCCAGTGGATCCCAAACTGATCCATGGGCTTACTGCACACAGTATTACATAGACTGTGCACACGCAAATTACCGAGAGCATTTAAAACACCTGAACCCATCTATATACTGTTCAACAAAAGAAGTCCACTAATAATGTTCTTGAATACGATTACTAAAACATTTCTACATACTTAGTATTGCTTAAACATTTCTCGGTACTTACTTCTGAATTCTCTCTTTATTTCATTCTGAAAATCACAGTTTGAGCAGCCCTGTTACAGAATTTCCTGCAGCCAGGATTTGGCTTGTTATATCTCAGTGGTATAGTTTCATGTTACTCTGGACTCTGCACTTCCTATGAAAATACTAGTTGGACCTAGAGAACTAATCAAACTCATGTCCAGCTTTTTTGGAAAGACTTTATAGTTGGTATTGCATCCTTCGATCATGAGACCGGTTGTTCCTCTTTTTGTGACGATAGCAGTCACTGATGAACTGTGTTAAATAAAGTACTTCAAGTCAAAGTCTCTCCAGTGAATTTGGTTGTAGGAAGTTTTTTTCTTCGAAATAACCCTAAGGAAGCTCTCTTTTTGTCAGGCACCATTGCATCCTTATACTACCTTAGTTGGATAACACAGTGTAGAACTTCTATCAGTTGTGACTTCCCATCCATTTGTAAGGATTTTAGGGAGACCTTGTCACCAAGCTGTGTTATAGATATTGTCTGTGTATTTTTCAATTTGCTATTCTAGTTGCTCTATGCATTCGATAAGATTAGAGGATATTCAAAAACTACATACCTACTTCCCTTCTACTTTAGAATATTTTTTAGCATCTTAAATTGAACACTTAAGTCACTGATTTTCATTTTAAATTTTTAAAATAAATGTATTTAATGCTAAATGTACAAGTGCTCATTTAGCTTTATGCCATCAGTTTTACTTTTTTAATGTTAACTGTGATAATATGGTTTAAATGAAGTCTACCAGGTTTCTCCATATTAAAACAAATTATCCCCCCACATCTGGTCAGTTTGAAGTGAGTATTTTCATTGGTGGTCAGTGATAAGTAATTTGCAATTTATTATTAATATTTCCCTTTGATCAATGAATCTATGGTTGTAAATTTTTTAATTTCTGAGAATATGGAAAGTTTTTATTATCTTTTCTTATTTATTGCTTTCTACATAAATTATATTGTAGTCAGGAAGGTATAGTTCTATCTATGTTATTGATTCTTTGAAATTTGTTTAGATTTCAACTGCCAACAAGTAATGGATAAGTTATCTTAAATATTCCATGTGACTTATACTTCTGACTCTTAGGTACAGAACTGTGTGTGTCTATATGTCTGCACATGCACAAATACACACATATAAATATATAAGCCATGTAAATATACATGGCTACCAAATTATAAAAATAAATATAAGCTAATCTTGTTAATCATATTTTTCAGATTATCTACCTCTTTACTTAGTTTTTCTGCTTAATTCACTGGTTTCTGATTGAGGTCACTTAAAATCTACCATGGTTATGAATTTGTCAAACTTAACATTTAATTCTTCAGTTTTGCTTTATGTATTAAGGATATAATGTTGAATACATAAAATTTCTTAATGCATTAACACTTCTTAGTTGATGTATTATCCCTTCTTTATTCCTATTTATCATTTTTCCATAAATTCTATCTCACCTAATCTTATTAATATTGCTGTCCCAACTTTCTTTTGATAAGTTTTTGCTTGATATATCTTTTTCCTGCCCTTTATTTTCAATCTCTGGTGTTGTTTTGTTTCAGGTTTCTCTAACTGAAAAATGTCCAATCTGATACTAATTTATTTGGACTTATATCTACACCCTTAATTTGAGGTTACTATTTATCATACTTTCTTTTCTTTCCTTTCCTTTTCCCCCCTAATTTGTTGACAAGAGATCATTTTATACATTCTTACTTTTCTACTCTATCAATGTGGAATGCATAGATTGTATTGCAATCCAGTTTTTTTCAACAAAATCTAAAGTTACTCAGCATTTCTAACCTTTCCCCACATATGATAAGATCCTTAGCAGATTTTAATTACCTATTGATTGCCCCCTCCAACTTGTCATTGTTGACTAAAGTTTTTGTTTCACCTTTTCAAAACAAAAAAAGAGTTTTTTCATAATTAATAGTTAAATATATATTATTGTAGTTTATCCATTTCTATGTTTTTCATTGTTTCTCTTACACCCTGTACCTCTGCATTCACTTTTCTACTTGCTGATATATACCTTAGAGTGATTTAAAAAATAATTTAAAAGATTAAGAGAAAAACTTTAAAAGATAATAATATAATTTTTAAAATTACATCTGTAGCATGATTACAACTATCTAAAATATTCTATTCATAGGGGAATAAACTGAAAGAAAAAAAACCATTTTCTTGAGAGTTAAGATTAGGTGAGACTTAGTATCAATACATTAGTTGAAGCCAGGAATTCAGAAAACACTACCACTCCCCCTGTCCCACACCATTGTTTGAATAAAAGCTCCCCTTGGGTCATAAGCTGGTCCCGTTTACTAAACAGTTCCATGAAATAAGCTGAATACAGTAAAATGGGTAGTGAATTCACAAGACCTAGTCCAGTTTTAGCTCCGCTACCAACTGGTTAAGCAACCTTGGACAAGTCAGTATACCTTCCAAGACCTCATATTCCTCATGGCTGAAGTGAAAATTATCTACCTCACATGTTTTTATTAAGGAGAATAAATGATACAATGAACACAGAAGCACCTTATCATATAAGAAGATTCGATACATAGCTACATGTGTGATAAATTTTTAATTATAAGGCAGAATATACAATAACATAATGTGATGAGATTAGCTATTTGTGCTAACCACTAAATTGCACTGGACTCGAACCAAATATGAAACCAGGTAAGGGCTAACTCTCTACCCACTTCCCATCTCCCACCTTCTGTGGCAGCCTTGACTTTCCCTCCCTTAAAATGCTAGGTGCACCTCACAGCCTTCATTGCCTCTTTCATGGCATGCAGACTTACAAATCAGTGCGCACGTTCCTTTTTTATTCTTTCATGAGGTAAGCTGCGCTGAGCACCTGTCTGCTGCCGTGACCTGGATATCACATTACTGGGATCACAGCTCTTCTTGCACATTAATTTTAAGTGATACTCTATCAATTGGTCATATTTCCCAGACTTAGACCTGTCTTTTTTCATCTTGTTTTAGTTTCCTAATAAATCTGTATTCTTATACATAGTTATCATTTCTAACTTAGAAAATAGTTATTCCAAGAGTAAGAATGCTCATCTAAGCTCCCCTGAGATCCAGCATGGGTGGCATTTCTGTGCAAGACTAACCTATTATTGTATTATCATAGATCACAGTATACTAGCACATCCTAAAGCAAACAGAAAGAAGAGAATGGGAGGACAATCTTGTTCAGTTGTCTCCTGCTACATGACTTATTTAATACAACAAAACAACAGTTACTTATTAGTCTAAGGATCCTATACTATATGTTTTCAACTAACAAGCCATTTAGCTTGTGTTTGCAGGAGGAAGTTTTATGATAATAATAATTCCTCCTGTTCCACTGAACACGTTTGGAAGAATTGCTGAAGAAGTAAAGTGAAATACTTCCTGTGCCTAGTTTAATGCCATTTGTTTCTGACATAAAAACAGAGATGGCTTTCAAAATATACAAATAAGGACAGGTAGTGTTGCAAATTTTTAGAACACAGAATCAAGCTTTTAGGGATTTTCATAATTTGCCCAAAAAAGATGCACATAACATATCGGATGCAATTATCTAAAAGATGCAAGATTCCCTGATCAAAAGGCTCTATGCCTGCAAACATACACTTTCAGAATAGCAGCAATTAAGACCTCCCACACCAGCATGCAAAGCAGGGGAAGGTAAGGAAAGAGCTCAGGGATAAGAACACAGTTTATAGTCCAAGCCAATAAATCGCCAGTCCCCTAAGGTATATAAGAAATTCATTAATCTCTAACAGCATGAAAACATAATTAACTTCTACTAACTGAGAGCTGAAATAAGCTGACCACAGGTTTCAGTGTTGTCTCTTCAGCCATCCTGGATTAAGGGTGAATTTGAGCCACTAACTATCCATTCATGAGAAGTGACCCAGAGAAAGGCAGGTCAGCTTTGAGAGAAAGGATAAGGACAGACAATTGAAAATAAAGGCCTGCTGATTTCTGCAGTTACTAACACAACAAATCAATCAAAAAATATCGAGGCAGGCCTGTACAAACAACATCATTAAAGATGGATTCACCAAAGTAAAATAAGTTCAAGGAAGGATGAGTATACTCGCTTTACTGAGATAAACTTTAGTGACCTGAACATGACATGTCCATGATGTCCTTCAGCCATGAGAAATGTCTCAAGACTCACCTCGTGCTTGGAGAAGAGCCGGACAGCCTCCAGCTGGTGGAAAACAGGGTAGTGCTGGGAGTCAATCTGGTCGCGCCTGTAGACGTCGCCCACCACTAGGAAGGCATCCAGCCCTGCGTGCAGCAAGTCCCATTGGTGCGCTGACGTGTGTGCTCTCAACATGTGTGTCCGATTCAGATAATAGTTGTCCCCCTTCTTCCTACTGGGGTGATGAGCTGGGATGAGCAGGCTGTCAAAGTTCTGCCATGTTGTGACCACTGGAGAAAGGTCGTCATAGACTGAAAACAGCGGGGTCCCAAAGCGGCCCACATACTGCTTGTAGAAGTGCTCCTTCACCCTCTCCTTGATCAGCCACAGAGGGTGATGCTGCTGGTTGTGTAGATTCCTACCTACCCTTGAGAGGACCTTCTGGGTGAGGTTGGTGTGGTCATCCTGAGGGTAGGACTTGCCCAGCAGCTCCACCACGTGGCCGGGAGCTGCTTGGGCAGCAAGCTCGGAAGCAGCAGGCCTCGAGCCCCAGGCCTGGTGCTGATGGCCTCTGGAGATGTGACTGGCCTTGCTCAGCAAGTAGAAACATGCACGGGTGACTTGCCTGAGAGCTGAACCAACCATCATAGAAACTTCTCACGAATTCTGGAGAGAGCACACATAAAAAGCACAAGTTTCACTTTGTGAAAAGCAAGTGTGTCCTCTGTGTCTCCCACAAGCCCTCACTGTGCTATTGGCATACATGTTTCTCCCACTGCCACCTCCACACAGCTGGAAGATCCAGTTAAAGAAATCTGCCGACAGAGGCTTCATGTTTACTGCACTAAATTGAAAGACTCTCGAAAGCCACTTTTAGATCCCTAATTTCTAGTTGTCCTTCATTTGTCATTTAGGTTCTTGGCTTTGTAGAAGATTTCCTTTATCACATTGTCCTGAACTCCTGATATGGAACAAAACTTAAATGTGACAACTTCCATATTCTAGAATCAAAGACTTCAGAGGCATGACCTAAATTACAGGACTTACTGGACCCTACTAAGGGCCTCATTAATTAAAGGGAGCACATGACTACATACAGGCCTTAGAAGGATAATAAAAGGGAAGATATGTTAAATAGCCATCCTTCACATTTCCGCTTTTGTCCTCTTAACTGCAAAGTACTGTTTATCCTTGACAGGTTCTGACTGCTGGATTACTTCACTAAATCACAGAATGACATTAATAATACTGTTTTTAAAACATTCTGAATAAAATACACCACTTTAGATGGTGGCTATCTTTAATATTTAAAAAATTAAAAATAGAAAACATAAGGAAATCTGATACAAAGTGATAGACTATACCAATAGACAGCTGAAACTATTTTTATAAATGTGAACCTTTCCTATAATCACATCTGGTCATGTCATTTAAACTTAATAGCATTGTAGCATCCTCTCAATTACATCTTTGTTTTGTAAAATAGCAAATTGCTATAATACTGCACACTCACAACAAACCAGGTGCAGGACTTAGCTCACTGAGGAATGGACAGAGAGCAACCAGAAGACAGAGTACTGACCCAGATTTTTAAAAAAGAAAAATGCCTAGAATTTAATAAGATCACCAAATTTCACAGCTGAAAGTCACCTCAGCTGTCATCTAGTCTAAGTTGTTCATGTCACAGACGAGGTGACCCAGACTCAGATATAACTGACCAAACTCTATGGTAAGGTGGCGAAGAGTAAAGACAACACAAAGGATTCCAGACCATGCAGTGTCCTCCACACTGCCACAGAAGCCAGTTTTAAATACACTCAGCAATCTCAGTAATGAGTCATTAGATGTCAAATCCTAATGTTCATAAATGATTTAAGTTCACAAACTTAAATCACACAAATTTATCTTCTAAAATTTGGAATTTTTATCTATTAGGCTACTTTAAAGCATATGTGGTTATATTACTTCAAGGGCCATGCAACCATACCAAAAAATACATAACTTCATGAGACTAAGATGCATAAGAAGAGAATTCTACTGCTCCAGACCATGAAAAGCATACCTACTAAGCAGCACAACTCACCTGATTCTAAATTGGAACTGAGAATATCTAGCTCCAAGTTAAATTGTTGTACTTGTGTATGACTGCTTATAAGAAGCCTGTGCATAGCACTTTTGTCTGAGATTGTCATCATGTGAGTTTTCAAAGACACATAGGAACTCTCTGGATTTATTCATTTATTTTGTCAGAGCTGCTTCAAAACGGCTTTTGGCTGAGCTGCAACTGAAATACATCTTCCTATCTACATTGTTCAGTGGCTTGTCACCACAGTGCATATGAACTTTAAATATGCATATGCAGCCTTACACATCTTAGCACAAAGCCAAACTGTTAGGTTCTTAGCTAACCAATTCAGCACCCTCGGCAAAACACAAGAAAGCACTTCTTCCTTCTAAAGGCATATGCTGTTATACAAAGTTCAGAATTGTTCTGGGAAAGAGGCTTTTGATGCAGCTATTTGTGGCTTGTTAACTATACTCTTCCTTCCCAGTTTCCAGCTCCTCACACATCCAAAGCCACTTCTAGGATCTGCACCCACAGATGTGCCCCGTCCTCACGTCCCTTGCTTGTTCTCCTCATGCAATCCCCAGCTTGCCCATGAAGGTTTAATTTTCTTGTCCTCATTTTCTTGTCCTTTGGTCTCTTGGCCCAGTCCTGCTTATATTTTCCATTGTCATTCTCCCCACCCAAACCAGTATTTGTCCTTTCTATTATTATCTCTTACAGAGAGAGATTAATAACAAGGGTTTCCTACTTCTACCTGAGACATGAATTCCTTTCCTTCTGCCTCTGTCAAATTTCACTATAAGAAATATTTCATCTGGAAATATATAAAAGACCCAGCAATATAATATCAATAGTCAGATGTCTATTGGTAAAGTGCTCTTCCATTTCATCCTTTCAACAACTGTGTGAGTTAAGTATTATTCTTACCATTTTAATGATGAGGAAAATAAAGCTCAAACAGATCGTGTAACTTGCACGAATTCATATGCCTAGCCATTAGGTAAAGTTTAGAACCCTGAGTAAGTACAGTTGACCCTTGAACAACATGGGTTTGAACAGTGTGGGTCTACTTATAAGCATATTTTTTTCAATGAAACTTACCCTGAGTGTGCCTGCCTCTCCTCCACCTCCACCATCCTGGAGACAGCAAAACCAACCCCTCCTCTTCTCCTCCTCCTCCTCCTCCACCTACTCGATGTGAAGATGATGAAGATGAAGGCCTTTATGATGATCCACTTCCACTTAATGAATAGTAGATATATTTTCCTTTCTTACAATTTTAATAATATTTTCTTTTCTCTAGTTTATTGTAAAGATACGGGATACAATACATATAATGTATAAGATATGTTAGTCAACTGTTTATGTTATCGATAAGGCTTCCAGTCAAAGTAGTTAAATTTGGGGGTAGCCAAAAGTTATATATGAATTTTTAATTGAGTGGGGGTTCAGCACCAAACCTCCAAGTTGTTCGAGGGTCAACTGTATTTCTCAAAGGCCCAATACTATTAAATTCAACTTATATCTCTTCAACCACCTCCTTAACTTCTATTTTATCTGAATAATTTAGATTATACATCAATGCATTTTGAATACATAAACAAATGTATCAATAAATAAATCTAATAAAACACATTAGATCATGAAAATGAAATAAATATTTAACTAAAGACTCAAGGACCAAATCTGTCCAAGGCCTGTTTTTATAAATAAGTTTTATGGGACACAGTAATAATCATTTGCTTACTTACCATTTTTTGTGGCTTTCTCACTACAAAGGCAGGGCTGAGTAGTTGTCACAGAGATTATATAGCCCACAAATACTCTAAAATACTTACTATCTAGTCCTTTACAGGAAGTTTTCTGAGCCCTGTTTTAGTTTAACCCACTGAAAAGTTCTTCCATATTATCAATAAAGTCATTCTGGTCACGAATATATGTAGACTGTATAGCCACACAAAGTAGAAAAGTATAAATATGGATGTGAAGTATGCTGACATTGGTATAAAACAGATAATGAGACCAACTGTGAGATAAATCAATATAATATTAACACAATAGGCAACAGGACAGACTTTACAGAGACACCCATATGGGTTTGATCCTAACTCAACCTCTTAGGAGCGGTATATCATCCTTGATGCATTATTTGACCTTTCTGGACCTAAAGTTCCTCATCTGTAAAATAGAGACAATAATATCTATCTCATAGTGAAAAGCTTAAACTAGATCTTGTTCATAAGATACTTAACTCTTTTAACTGTGTAAGAGATAAGATGAGTTAAATCAAGAGTTAAAAGTGACCTAGAGATTTCTAGAGACCAGGTAACAGAGAAAATAGAGTAATTCACTGAGATAGGGAACTCCGAATGGATGGATGTTCATTTGTTCAGATGATTTTCTCTGTGTTTGTGGTTACAGAAAGAAACAGCTTTGGACATAAGGAAGTTAATTATAGATGAGATAGCCCTGTTATAATTTCTATGAGGAAGTTCAAGGTATGGTTTGGAAATGAGGTAAGAGATTAGTTCTAGAAAGGTAGACCTTGGAAGCAATTTGTATACAGGTACAAGTTAATATCACATGGGTATATAAGAATGCATGGTAGGATGAGAGAAGAAAACAGAAATAGCCATATTGTCTGTCTCCCTGTTAGACTATATGGTCCTTGAGAGTAGAACACATACACACACACACACACACACACACACACCCTCTTATATTAATCTTTGTATACTCAGAGCCTAGCACTATATTTGACACTAGGTAGAAAAGGAGAGAAGAAGAGAAAGAAGAAGAAAGGGAAAAGGACAGAAAAAATTGGTCAGCAAGATCTAACAAGACAAAAAGGGCAGCATTTTTTGTAGGGGCAGCTAAAGTAAAAAATTATTTAAACAATCAACTGAGTGAAGAGACAACCTATGAAATGTGACAAAATATTTGTGAGCCATACATCTGATAAGGGGTTAATATTCAAAATATATAAGAAACTAAGCTCAAAAAAAAAAAAGACAATTAAAAAATGGGCAAAGGGTCTATACAAACAGTTCTCAAAAGAAGACATATAAATGGCCACAGGTATATGAAAAAATCCTCAAAATCACTAGTTATCAGAGAAATGCAAATCAAAGCCACAGTGTGATATCACTTCACCTCTGTTAGAATGGCTACTACTGAAAGAGAAATAGTAACAAATGCTAGCCCAGATGTGGAGAAAGGGGAACTCTTACACACTGTTGGTAGCAATACAAATTAGTACAACCATTATGTAAACAGTATAGTTTCCTCAAAAACCTAAAAATAGAACTACCATAGGATCCAGTTAATCCCCCTTCTGGGTATATGTACAAAGGAAATGAAATTGGTATGTCAAAGAGCTGTCTGCACCCCCATGTTCATTGCAGCACTGTTCACAATAGCCAAGATGTGGAATCAACCTAAGTGTCCATCAGTGGATGAGTGGATAAAGATAATGTGGTTATCTATATAATGGAATACTATTCAGCCTTTAAAAAGAAAATCCTATCATTTGAGACAATATGGGTGAACCTGGAGAACATGATGTTAAGTAAAAAAGCCAGGCACAGAAAGATAAATA